ATATATATTGGCTATATTATATTTGGCTGCAATGACTGGCCAAACATAATTTACAACTGTGGGAACAAAAGTTTACAGAGTATATAAAAGCACGCATTGGCATGTATAATACAGTAAAAAAAAAAAAAAAAAAAAGTACATGGAATATAAAATAACATCAAATAAAAAATGTAGCCAAGTTTTGCGGTGCAGTTTTGTTCAGTTGTCCTTTCTGTCATTCTACTCCTGACCACCAGGTGGCGGTAGATATTTGATTTGAACCGTCACGGCGCTTCGTTGTACCCTCTTTAAATTACTGATGATGTGTCTGTGGTTAGTCTTCAAGTTACTTCCGCGTTGCTGTTGTGTGCAGTTGTGATTGGAAGTGTAAGCACAGTGAATAGCTCAGAATGGTGGAGAAACAAAGAGTTATTTAACGCTTCATTGGTCTACACATTATCGCAAGCTGTTTGTACTTTTTGATGCTGAGAAGTCGGAGCGCCAGTGGAAGGTACGGAACCAAACCAGGATAAAACCAGCTAGCCTTTCAGCTAGCCACCTGGAAGGTGTTCTCTGTCAGTGGCTGAAGAGCAAGTTATTGAAAAATGGATCTTCTCTGGGAAATCATTCAAGTTCTCGGCGCACTGGCAGTTCTTGTTTTGATTGTGGTAAGTAATACAGAGTGTTAAAATAAGTGGCGCGTGCAGAGATTAGTTGTACAGTATCCAGTTTTGCAGGTAGATAATTGGCGTTAAAAGTTTTGCTCCATTCATCAGCAATATATGATTTTCTTTTTCTTCTCAGTATCATTTCCATGAAAAAATACTGAGCAAGTCTGTAAGGCTTGAAGTAGTTATGGTAATGTAGTTGGTTATAAAAAAAACCTCAAATTTGTGACCCTAAAGATAAAAAGGAAAGCCTGGCTGGGATACTTCAGAAAACGTTAATGTTCACTGAAATTACATGATTGACAAGTTGTACAGGAAAACTGTAAAAATGATGAGTTACAGTGTCATGTTTCTTACCTTTCAGGTGCTCATTATAGCACATCTGACTGCAGGGATGGTGAACCTGACACGGCACGACAAAGAGAAATACTTCATCGTGGCCTCAGGAGAGAAGCAGCTTTTCCCAAGTGTTCATGATCCCTCTTCCAGGGACCTGTCTGTGGTGATTCCAGCTTACAATGAGGAGCTCCGAAGTGAGTAAGAAACAGCAGACGGATATAATCCCCCACCACCCACACACACTTTTTTTTTTTTTGCATGTGAACCTTCCACTAAGCTTTAAACCAATCAAATGAACACTATTTATCTGTCAAAGCACTCATGTTTGATGCAAGCTGGTGCAGTTTTTATCCCATAATTCAGCTCTGATTGTTGTCACTTCAACGTGAGCCTGCAGGCACTTATTTGTGCTTCTATGCTTCATTTCAGTGCCTGTGATGCTGGATGAAGCTATAGAATTCTTGGAAAACAGACAGGTAACTATTAAAGTTGTATCTTAAATCATATTACCATTTTCTAAATACCTATTTAATGAAGGGGTACATGAAAGCAAAACTTGCATCTGAAAAATGTTTATTATTCTGTGACCACTAGGTGGCAGCATTGGCATGTAGAACCTGCTTGTTATGGTTGCAAATCTATTTTTATTTAATTTTAGAAACAAAACCCTTCTTTCACTTATGAGGTGATTGTGGTTGATGATGGCAGTAAAGATAAAACTACAGAGGTAATGATTTTAATTTATCTTCTTTGAGTTCTTCTCAGTATTTCTCAGCTAAACAGTTGGAGTTGGCTTTGAAAATGAATGCTGTGATGTTCTGCCAGGTCGCTTCGCGCTACACCAGGAAGTACGGCGCAGATAAAGTGCGAGTCCTGACACTAGTGAAGAACAGAGGGAAAGGTGGAGCTGTACGGATGGTGAGGCTTCGGAGCGTCCTAATGCAGAGCGAGGTCACCTTCGTGTAGATTTCGCTTTTAACACGCTTGTCGCTCTCTGCTGCTCCTAAAAGGGAACTATGAGCTCCAGAGGGAAACTCATTCTGATGGCAGATGCTGACGGAGCCACCAAGTTTTCTGACATTGAGAAAATAGAAGCTGGACTTAAAAACCTCCATCCTGGACCGGTGTGCTTTTTGCTCTGCTTCTATTTATTTATAGAACAGTGATCGTCGCGCCCTAACACGTGTCCCCTTTCATGCAGGAGAACTTGGCCATCTCCTGCGGCTCCAGAGCTCACCTAGAAAAAGAAGCGGTTGCTCAGGTTTATTTGTTTGGTCGTCTTCTTGAAAATTAACTCGTCATTTTATAATAATAAATTAATCAATGACTGGCGTGTCTTTCTAGCGCTCCGTGTTTCGTACATTTCTCATGTACGGTTTCCACTTCCTGGTGTGGTTCTTGTGCGTGAGAGGGATTCGGGACACGCAGTGCGGCTTCAAGCTCTTCACACGTGAGGCTGCACTCAAGACCTTCTCCTGCCTGCATGTAGAGCGATGGTAAAGAGCTGCAGATCTAAGAATGAGCGATAAGTTGTTGGTTATAGTAATGATAGTTGAAGCAGTAATGAAGTGAAAGTGATCCTGAGCATCATCCGTGTACCGTCCTCTCCTCTCAGGGCTTTTGACGTGGAGCTCTTGTACATTGCTCAGTGTTTTAAAATCCCCATAGCCGAGGTGGCGGTCAACTGGACGGAAATAGAAGGTTGGTGTGTCATTAAATGTGACATTTCACTGTACTTGGGTGTGTTTGCTACTATTTAAGTGACTTTTTTTTTTTTTATAAACCTTTAAAATTACCGTTGTAATCATTTTACTGTAAAGCACAACACTTGGGCAGTAAATCGCAACAAGCTGCAGTGTTTCCACCGTTCGTCCTTTAAAAAGTTTTTAATTCAGACATGAAATGCTTGTGTTCTCGTTGCCCTTAGGGTCCAAGCTGGTGCCATTCTGGAGCTGGCTGCAGATGGGACGGGACCTGATTTTCATCCGCCTGCGCTACATCACCGGAGCCTGGAAGCTGCAGCCGCCTCTTAAGACTGATTAACCAATCAGACAGGCCTCTGTGTCAGAGACACGGGATGCTGGACGGCCATGGAGCCTTTCAGTGAGGAGGGGTTCTGATCATGTCCAAGATCTTGTTTTAATTATTCTTGGGAAGCGAGGCGCAGACACATTCACCCTGCCTTTATGTGGTTAATAACGGCTTTTTATAGCCACTGTTACATTTCTGTCGCCACAACTTGCAGAATGTCTGGATGGATGGTCGTGTGAGGGTTATGTTGTGCCTGATCCGCTGTATGTGTGAACTGCAGCCAGATTCGAAGGATCTGTTGTGGTTCTTAAAGGGTAAATGATCAATATTAAGTTGTTTTCACAAGGACGGGGTTTTTGTTTTGGAGGAAACGTGACAATGGTGGGTAACTTGAAACAAAATAAAACATCTACTGTTCATCAGTAACTTGGTACCAAAGCTGTGGGAGTGCGTTTATCGAATGTAGACGTTCTACTAACCTGCAGAATAATCATTTACAAAGTTTCCAGCAGAATCCGTTTCATGATCTGCGATCAGATTTCAATACGAGACTTGTCTAAACACAAAATAAAGAAAAAATGCACACGCAGTATAAATAATTCTGCTTTCATTTGAGAAAACGTGATCACTGTATATAAGAAGTGAAGTCCCACCAGGAGGCAGGAAATGACAACCTGACCTTTTGTCAAATTGGTCGTCATGTTCCGGACATCCAGTAGAAATAAGTTTCAGCGGCTGCTGATCAGTGTTTTCATTTCATATATCTGAGCTCAATCAGTTACTGCCTCTAATAATTGTCCAAAAGGAGCTTTTTTTTTTTCCATCTCGATAATGAAACGAACTCTTAAACTTTACCTTCATATACTGAGCATGACCGGACATTAAATTACTGCTACTCGTCTAGACTGAACTATGTTTAGAATTATTGCTTGTACCATAAAGAGTCTGGCTTCAGTAACAATTTTATGATGGGGAGGGGGGGTTGCTGCAGGATTTTTTTTTTTTTTTTTTTAAGGGACCAAAAATGTCTGAACTACTTGGTTTGCCACAGTATTTATCCCTTTGCTTGTCTCTTAATCATCATACTGTGTGTTGGAGCTCTGTGGTTGGAGTTAATGAGCTTTAATGTTTTTTATACAAGCCTGAGGAGTGTGTCCTGTTTGTGTCCTGCTCTCCAGGACCAGTGAATCATCTGTGCACGTCTTACTTCCTGTCTCTGGAGTCAGCTTTGTGTCCCAAACAAAGATGAGATTGAAAGAGATATGTCCCCTAAGAGCTATTTCTTGTTCCAGTTTGTATAACTTTTGTCAAATCAACTCAGTTGTTCTGCAGACAGGTGCATCTTAAAGGTTGAACAGAGGGTGTTTGGGGACGCTTCACAGCATCTCTCTGTGGAAATCACCGGCTTTAACAGACTGATGCAGATTGTAGATAATTTACCTGGTGGGAATATGATTTTTTTTTTTCAGGGTTGTTAGGATGGTTAGGAGCCGCAGCAGTTGTTGTAAACTGAAAATGTCAAACTTGCAGACTCTCTGTCGCCAGCAGAGTCTGCGTCATTAACTGGACCGGTCACGGCACTCCCAGTAAAGGATCGTATCCATCCGCAAGGAGAAAGACCTCCGCGTGCTCCCCCAACAAAACTAAAAGGAAGAAAAAAATAGTATCCAACCTTGCTCATACATTTATACTGTGTGTATATATATATTTCTTTTTATACTCGTGACAAGTCAAGTGATGGACTTTTTTTTTTTTTTTAGCCTGCGCCTCATCATTAGCCACGTTATGACATTAGCATATTGTTTAAATTAAAGCTCATGGATTTAAAGTAATGCATGCTTCACTCACTCCATAATAATTACCATAATGTTGTATATTCGTGCAGGAGAGCAGGTGGGGTTGTTTGAAATGGGGAAGCGTGTACGACACAGGTGGCACGCGCGCGCACGCCGGGACTAAAATCCCTGAAATCCTGTGAAAGTTCCAGGAGGGGGGAAGGCGGAGGGATCTGACAGGCAGGCGCTGCGGTTCCAGCCAGGCTGACGCCGCCGAGGCTGTGTGGCGCTCCGACTGTGGCTGCAGGAGAAGCTGGAGCCTCTGAGCGCTTCAACCCGGCGTCAATGGTGACGTAGAGAGAAACCACCGGAAACGACCGAGTCTAAACTTTCTAAATAAAACTTGAAACGTCTCTTGAAAACAAGCATCTATTTGCAGTGGTGGAGAAAGTACTTAAACACGGTACTTAAGTAAACGGCGTTGACGTTGTGCTCCGTTTACGTTACTTTTATTTTGAAATATCCAACCGGATGCAGGTTTCCCATTGACGCTATCTTTACGGTTTAACGTCAACACGCGCGTTAGTAAACACTCGGCTGAGTGCTACACCTTCCCCAGCACACGGGACTGGCTCGGTCCAAACGCGGAAGCCTCCAGACTGTCTCGGCTGATGCGCACTTGTCACAACAGAGGTGAGGGATGAACGCAGCTCTCTAGTTTATGATTTCAGACTTTAAAAAGTTTTTGTTTGACCGACCTGTTACAGAATGAATGCAGCTCTTAGCACGTTTGTAAACAGTTGCGTGCTCAAATCTTTATAATGT